ATTCTTCTCAATTCTGAGCTAGTGTGGGATTACTCTATCACATCCATCTACACCTAATAGAACCTTCTCAAAAACTGACCACATACTTGGTAACAAAGCAAACTTCGACACACACACACAAATTGGAATAATTTCGTGTATCTTATCAGATCACTACGGTTTAAAGTTAGAATTCAAAAACACATTGCAGAAAGCCCACAAACTCATGGAAATTGAACAATGCACAATTGCATTACCACTGGGTCAAAGAAGAAATAAATAAATTAAAGACTTCCTAAAATTCGATGAAAATGACTGCACAACATACCCAGACTTGTGGGACACAATGAAAGCAGTGCAAAGAGGAAAGTTCATAGCACTAAATGCCTACATAAAGAAGCTGGAGAAATCCCACACTAGCAAATTAACAGAACACCTGAAAGCTCTAGAACAAAAAGTAGCATACTCACCCAGGAGCAGTATATGGCAGGAAATAATCAAATCGAGGGTCAAAATCAATAAAATAGAAACAAAGAGAACAACACAAAGAATCAATGAGACACAGAGTTGTTCTTCAAGAAAATCAACAAGATTGAAAAATGTTTATCCAAACTAGCCAAAAGACAGAGAAAAAAATATCCAAATTAACAAAATCAGAAATGAAAAAGAGGACATAACAGACACTGAAGAAATCCAGAGAATCATCAGGTCATACTTCAAATGTCTGTACTCCACAAAATTGGAAAATTTAAAGGAAATCCACTCATTTTTTAGATGAGTATCACGTACCAAAATTAAATCAAGACCAGATAAATAAATTAAATAGACCTATAACCCATAAGGAAATAAAAACAGTCTTCAAAAGTCTCCTGACCAAAAGAGAGAGAGAGAGAGAGAGAGAGAGAGAGAGAGAGAGAGAGAGAGAGAAAGATAGAAAGCCCAGGGCCAGATGGTTTCAGTGCAGAATTCTACCAGAATTTTAAAGAGCTAATACCAATATTCCTGAAATTGTTCCACACAATAGAAGCAGAAGGAACACTGCCATACTCTTTTTTATGAGGCTGTAGTTACCCTGATACCCAAACCACACAAAGACATAACAAAGAAAGAGAATCACAGACCAATCTCTCTCATGAACATTGATGCAAAAATACTCGGTAAAATTCTGGCAAACTGAATCCAAGAACATATCAGAAACATCATCTACCATGAACTGGTGTGTGTTCTTCTGTATGTGTGTTGCTTTTATTGGTTAATGAATAAAAAAGCTGTCTTGGCCTGTGATAGGGCAGAGTAGAGCTGGTGTGGGGGAACTAAACTGAATGCTGGGAGAAAGAGGGCAGAGTCAGGAGACGCCATGTAGCCACCAGAAGGGAAAGACTCAAACTGTCAGCTGGAACCTTGCCAGCAGGCCACAAACCTCTTGGTAAAATATAAAATAATGGAAATGGGTTAATTCTAGATGTAAGAGCTAGCTAGCAATATGCTTAAGCTATTGACCAAACAGTATTGCAAATAATATAGATTCTGAGTGATTATTTCGGGTCTGGGTGGCCGGGAACGAACAAGCAGCTTCCGTCAACAATGATCAATTAGGCTTCATCCCAGAGATGCAGGGATGGTTCAGCATATGAAAGTCCATCAATGTAATCCATCATATAAACAAACATAAAAAAAACCCACAGATCATTTCATTAGATGCCGAAAAAGTCTTTGACAAAATCCAATACCCCTTCTTGATAAAGGTCTTGGAGAGATCAGGGATACAAGGAACATTCCTAAACATAATAAAGGCAATATACAGCAAGCTAACAACCAACATTAAATCTAGTGGCGAGAACTCCTATAACTGATAAACACCTTCAGTAATGGGGCAGGACACAAGATTAACTCAAAAAAATCAGTAGCCCTCCTATATACAAATGATAAATGGGCTGAGAAAGAAATCAGAAAAATATCACCCTTCACAATAACCACAAAAAAAACATAAAATATCTTGGGGTAACTCTAACCCAACAAGTGAAAGACCTGTATGATAAGAACTTTAAGTTTTTGAAGAAAGAAATTGAAGAAGACATAAGAAAATGGAAAGCTCTCCCATGCTCTTGGGTAAGTAGAATTCACATAGTAAAAATGGCAATGTTGCCAAAAGCAATCTACAGATTCAATGTAATACCCATCAAAATCCTAGCACAATTCTTCACAGGCCTGGAAAGAACAATACTAAATTTAATATGGAAATAAAAAACACAGAATAGCCAAAACAGCCCTGTATAATAAAGGAACATCTGGAGACATCACCATCCCTGACTTCAAACTCTATTATAGAACTACAGTACTGAAAACAACTTGGTATAACAACAGACATGTAGACCAATGGAATCGAATTGAAGACACTGATATTAACCCATACACCTTTGAACACCCAAGTTTTGACAAATAAGCTAAAAATATAAAATGGAAAAAAGAAAACATCTTTAACAAATGTTTCTAGTATAACTGGGTGTTGACATGTAGAAGAATGCAAATAGATCATTATATATCACCATGCACAAACTCAGGTCCAAGTGGATCAAATACCTCAACATAAATCCAGTCACATTGAACCTCATAGAAGAGAAAGTGGGAAGTACTCTTGAATACATTGGCACAGGACACCACTTCCTAAATATAACCCCAGCAGCACAGACACTGAGAAAAACAATTAATAAATGGGACCTCCTGAAACTGAGAAGCTTCTGTAAAGCAAAGGACATGGTCAATAAGACAAAAGAGCAGCCTACAGAATGAGAAAAGATCTTCACCAACCCCACATCTGACAGAGAGCTGATCTTCAAAATATAAGAACTCAAGAAAGAAACTAGGCATCAAACTACCAAATAATCCAGTTAAAAAATGGGATACAGATCTAAACAGAGAATTCTCAACAGAAGAATCTCAAATGACCAAAAGACACTTAAAGAAATACTCAAAATCCTTAGAAATCAGAGAAATACAAATCAAAACCACTTTGAGATAACATCTTATACCCATCAAAATGGCTAAGATCAAAAACACTAATGATAGCTGGAGATAATGTGGAGTAAGGGGCACACTCCTCCATTGCTGGTGGCAGTGCGAACATTTTTGTTGTTGTTGTTTTTGTTTTTTTGAGAAAAGTTTTCTCTGTATAACAGTCCTGGCTGTCCTGGAACTCACTTTGTAGACCAAGCTGTCATCAAACTCTCTGAGATCCTCCTGCCTCTGTCACCCAAGTACTGGGATTAAAGGCGTGCACCACCACCTCCCTGTTGGGAGTGCAAACATGTTCAGCTGCTGTGGAAATCAGTATGGCAATTTCTTAGAAAATTAAAAATCAGTTGACAAGACCCAGCAATACCACTTTTGGTCATATACACAAAGGAGGCACACTTAAACCACAAGGACATTTGCTCAACTATATTCATAGCAGCATTATTCGTAATAGACAGAACCTGGAAACAATCTAGATGCCCCTCAACTGACGAATGGATAAAGAAAATGTGGTCCATTTACACAATGGAGTATTACTGGATGATAAAAAAAAAAAACGAAGACATCTTTTAATTTGCAGGCAAATGATTGGAACTAGTAAATACCATCCTGAGTGAGGTAACTCAGAACCAGAAAGACAAATATAACCCACTCACAAGTGAATATCAAACATAAAGCAAAGGATAACAAGCCTACACAGTCCACAACCTCAGAGAAGCTAGAACCCTCACCCAGAAACAGATGGAAGCAGATGCAGAGATCCACAACTAACCACTAAACTGAGCTCCCGGAGTACAATTGGAGAGAGGGAGAAGCTATGATAATATGAACAAAGGGGTCAAGACCATGAGAGGGAAACTCACAGAATCAGTCGACCCCCAGCTAGAGGGTTTCTCTGTGTAGCATTGGTGCCTGTCCTGGAACTAGCTCTTATAGACCAGGCTGGCCTCGAACTCACAGAGATCTGCCTGCCTCTACCTCCTGAGTACTGGGATTAAAGGCGTGAGCCCCCACCGCCCGGCTTGGAGCTCATTTTCTATGGAACAATAACTTGCTCAGCCTAGGCACGGGGTGGGGGGGGTGCTTATCCTGCCTCAACAAGGTGATAGGACAGACTTAGTTCACTTCCAAGGGGAGACCTTACCGTCTCTGAAGGGCAGATAGGGTTGAAGTGGGTTGAAGTGGGTTGAAGTAGAGGGAGTGGGAGGAAAAGAGGGAGGGGGAACTGGGATTGCTATGTAAATAAATAAATATATAAATAAAAGCATAAGCCTCAGATGGAGTGTATACGTCTTTCTTCTTTAATAGATTGGAAATTCCTTTAAGACCTCACTGCTTTGAAGGCATTCTAGCTGCAACCTGGTGTAGTTCTGGGAGCTGTTCTCACAGCCTGTGACACTTCTGAAGCTCCTCATCAGTATATTTGAGAGACAGCAGCTTCTCTTGATATTTGTGTTGTTTGTTTTTCTCTTTTTTGGTACAGTTGTTGGAAAAGTCAGAAGCAGGCATGTTCCCCTGCAAACACTCCCCACTCCCACCCCTACTCCCACCCCCAGTTTCAAGTTGAAAGTTCATTGTAAACATTTAATGTTTTCACCCATTTGGTGCTCTCAATTAAGATGCAAGGATTTTTTAGAAATTATCTTCCTGACAAAACATGTGGGATCATTGTGACCTAAAAACATACTGGTCTGAAAAACTTCAAATATTTACTCAAATTCAGATTTTTGGAGAAAATTATACGAGCACCCGACAACAGTCAGCAAAGGCATTCAGAGTTAATTTTAAGGTTATCATATTCACCATTTTGTTACTGCCCAGGCCTAAAGATCCTTGCGACTGCAAGACTCTAAAAACACTGGTTTTGCAGCTGAGAAAAAAAGTGAGAGTTGGAGGGAGCTGGGTCTTGGCCAACCAGGCAGAAGCTGTGTGCCCCAGCCAGGGCTTTGCACCACTAAGCACCACCACTTTACATCAGAGGGGTCACCAGCATCTTTCTTTTGTATTAGATTTGAACATCTCTGACATCTCTGGACTCACTCAGGCGCCCCATCCAAATAGCCTCAGATCCCTGACTTTCCAGGCACCCTTCAATGAGGACAATGTTGAGACACTGGTCCAGTCCATCCAGGAGGTTTTACGTGGTGAGCTAAAGGTATGCATGGCAGTCCTGATGAGCAATCCAATGTATTCCTTCTAATAAAAAGTATTCTGAACATAACTCATTATTATATACATAAATACTTTATTGATTATAAAATGTATTTTCCTTTGTAATTTTTATTTACAAATTATTGCATTTATATATTATTTATTATGTATATAGTGTTCTGCCTGCACATTAGAAAAGGGCACCAAATCTCATTATAGATGGTTGTGAGCCACCATGTGGTTGTTGGGAATTGAACTCAGGACCTTTGGAAGAGCAGCCAGTGCTCTTAACCTTTAAGCCATCTCTCCAGCCCTATTATTTATATTTATAATAAATAAAATTAAGATTAAACCTTGCTAAAACTCAAAGGTTAATCTTCTCTAACCCCACTCCCTTGAGATAACCGCTATTACCATATTCTGTCCCTACAAATGAATATAATTAGAGGAAAAACAGTCACACATGTTCTAGGTAAGTAGCTATAGATCTGTTCTGGCCAGTTTCCTGGGTATACAGTGTTCCATTGTTGAGGAAAGCCAGTCATGCACCCTGTGAGAGTGTAAGAGAACTTACCTGGTGTGAGGGGAGGAAGGCTCCTCTGAGAATGCATCCTTTGAGCTCAGAGCTGAGGGATAAAAGGAAAAAGGAGGAGTTAGAATTGGGGAAATGGAGTATGGTAGAAGTAGTCAGAAAGAACACAGTATGCTTGAGGAGCTCAAGCCTCACACATTTAACCCATGGTGATAAATGGGGACAGTGGTATAAGACAGGTAAAGAGTTCAGCAGGGCAGACACTGCTTGACCTTGAAAACTAGAGTAAGACTACTAGGGTCTCTGCATAGTCCTGGCTGTCCTGGAACTCACTGGATAGACTAGACTGGCCTCATATTCAAAGATCTGCTTGCTTCTGCTTCCCAAGAATTTTTGTCTTTAACTTAAAAACAAACTTTCTCTCTCTCTCTCTCTCTCTCTCTCTCTCTCTCTCTCTCTCTCTCTGTGTGTGTGTGTGTGTGTGTGTGTGTGTGTGTGTATTTATTTTTTCAAGATGAGTTTCTCTGTAAACAGCCTTGGCTGTCCTGGAACTAGCTTTGTAGACAAGACTGGCCTCAAACTCACAGAGATCTGTCTACCTTCTTGTTGTAGGAGTCCGCTAGTTAGTCCCGGCTGCTCAGTCCCAAAATAATCACACAGAAACCATATTATTTCCAATACTGTTTGGCCAATAGCTAAGCACATTTCTGGCTAACTCATATTCTAAACTAGCCCATCTCCATTAATCTGTGTATCACCACGTGGCTATGGCTTACCAGGTAAAGTTCTGGCATCTGTCTCTGGCGGGGCAACATGGCTTCTCCCTGACTCTGTCTTCTTTCTCCCAGCATTCAGTTTAGTTTTCCCTGCCTACCTCTATTCTTCACTGCCAGGCCCAAGACAGATTCTTTATTAACCGATAAAAATTTACAACATACATAGGGGAATCCCACATCACCTCAGTCTCCCGAGTGCTGGGATTAAAAGTGTGCACCATCATGACTGGCTTGTAAGTGTCATTTTTAAGCTTCCAATAGATTCTGCTAAGTTGTCTACCCAGCATATAAAGCAGTGGTTCTCATCCTGTGTGTCACAACCCCTCTAGGGGTTGAATGTTAGATATCCTACATATCAGATACTTACATTACATTACAATTCACTACAGTTATAAAGTTAACAACAGAATAATCTTATGGTTGGGGGTCATCACAATATGAACTGCATTAAAGGGTCACAGTGTTAGGAAGGTTGAGAACCACTAATATAAAGCCTATTTGTATGCTAGAGAGATGGCTCATCTGTTAAAGGCTAAGCTCACAACCAAAAAGTACATTTATATGGGCACAGAAGAGTATCAGATGCTAGTTGCTTACAACTGTCCAAAATCAGTATAATTTGGTTTGCTTTTCATCTTTACCAGTCATATTGGCAATAAAGTTTTACCCACTTGTTTTACCTATGTGTCTTTGTGTGTGGGTATGTGTACTGGGAATGCATGTTGAGTGCACATACATGTAGAGGCCAGAGGCTTTTCTTCAGGTGTTTTTACTGGGATAGAGTCTCTCCCTGGGATCGGAGGCTCTCTGATTAGGCTAGTCTGGCAGACCACAGACTCCTAGCTTTTTATGTGGATGCTGGGGCAGACACTTTACCTTCTCCATTACCACTGTAACTTAATATCTCTCATCCTAATGTGGAGTAATTTGCTTGGCCTAGTGTGTGGGATCACACTGTGAACTCTAAGCTTGTGTTTGCACTAATTAAATAAAATCATCCCTGGGCCAAGAGACTGAGTTAGCAACTAGTTGACAGAGGTAATTATAGAGAGTCATAGGGTGTCTGTAAGATGATAGAGAGATGTGCGGGAAGTAGTAGGGAGGGACTTAGTATAGCATTTTGTGTATAATGCTAATACAATAACAACAACAAAACACCAGAAGTCAGCTGGTTGGTCACTTTTGATGTGAAACTTTTTATTTTTAAAATTTGGAGCTATTCTTTGTGTTTAATATCACAAGGTTTTGTAAAAATTTTCTTTGTTTAATAAAGGATTTGGATTGCTTCAGTGAATTAAAACAAAATAAGGCCCATTTCAGTAAGTCTGTGAGATTACCTCAGATGCTGTGACAGATGTGGCTGCACCTAGGAAGGGCTGACAACTCTGCTTCATGATTAAAAGGACAGTCCAACTCTTAAAATACATGCAGGTCTAGCAAGAAATGTAGAGAAGGCAGGAAGCATACAGCCCCAGAAGCAAGAGAACACATCAAGGAAGTTAATTGACCATAGCTGTGACTGCCTCAAGTCAAGGCAAGACGTGATTTGATGAGGTCAATTAGATCAGATTGAGAAGGGCCTTGATCCCCTTGGGTGCTATCGAACAACTGTAGATAAAGAGTTACATGATCAATTAACATTTGAGAAAAAATATACAGGGTCAAAAAAGAAAAAAAATAAGAGTAAGAAATTCAGGATGATGGCACACTCTTGTAATTCCAGCACTCAGGGCAGGTGGATGCCATAAAATCACTCATTGTTCTCTAGGGAATTGTGTGAGTTTATACCATCTGTTCCTAGGGGAAAGACTGAAAGAAATATTCATCTGTGCTTTCCTCTTTGTGCTTTATTTCAGAATTTCTATAATAAGTAGTTATTACTTCTCTGATCAGAAAAGCAAAATGTCAATATGAAAAATATTATTATTCAAATCAGAACTTGCATTTTTTAAGGAAGCCTTGAGAACTTGAAATGGTGTAGACAGAAGTTTCTGTCCCATCTGGTTCCATAGTCATTCAGTCCCAAAGAAACACACAGAGACTTTTGTTAGTTATAAACTGTTTGGCCTATTAGCTCAGGCTTATTATTAATTAGCTCTTATAACTTAAATTAACCTCAAATTCTTGTCTGTTTAGCCACATGACTTGGTACCATTTCTCAGTGCAGCATTCTCATCTTGCTTCCTCTGTGTCTGGGTTATGATTGCATCTAGCCTTTTCTCTTCCCATAATTCTCTTAGTCTGGTTGCCCTGCCTATGCTTCCTGCCTGGCTACTGGCCAATCATCTTTTTATTAAACCAATACGAGTGACAAATCTTTACAGTATACAAAAGCATTATCCCATAGCAAAATGGTGACCCTTTAATGTCATCAGAAGAACTGGAGGTAGCAGATTCAGAGTCATCTTTGGGAATCTTAATCTGGTAACATGATAGGAGGGTAGGTGAACAGTGTAGTAAAGCTTGAATGTGGGGAGAGCCTAGAGCACTTGGTGCTGCAACGGAGGGTGTGCTGTGGTCCCCAGCAAATGTCTTGGATAAAGAAGTGCATTGGATCCTCCTGTACTTTGTGCATTCCTTATAGTTAAGAGACTGATCCTGGATTGAATAAAATGCCATGTGTTAAAAACATCCAAAAAACTTTGCAAAACCATTGTACATTTATCAAATAAGATGATGTATAATTGTATTTTTATCATTTCCCCACAAATTCAGGGTGAATCTGAAAAGTTGAAGTTCCTAAGATCTTTGTCTGCTCTGAGTCAAACTTTACATTATGACGAAACTACAGAATCATTTGTTCACCGCCACATGGCAGAAATAGTGCACATCCTAAGTGTAAGTACTGTGGGTTTGGCAGAGGTTACTGTGATAATTGAGATTCATCTGAATCTATCTTTATTGTATATTTGTAAGCATTTTCTGACCAGGAGCCTCATTTTTTTTAAATGCTAAGTGGATGTGGCTAGAACCAACTATGTGGTCCTGCCTATTTGTTCCACCCCGTCCAACATGGTGAAGGTAAGGTCACCACCTCTGCAAGTCATGCACACCACCTCAGCTCCAGGGATCCAGTGGGTCTATGTTTTCCATTAAGCAATTTATAACAGGCTGCTCACAGACCCCATTTAAGTGCAGGAACTCCCCAAAGAGCCAGAGTTCGTTCTGCTAGCATGAACTAGGAAGCTGGATCTTAAAGAAACCATGTAATTTTTTGCTGCTAACACTTAGTCAGGAAGACTTCTCTTAAAGAAGCCGTGCCTCTGCTTGCTGCCAGCAAGCAGAATCTGAAAAAAATGTGGCTACCAAGAAGCTGTGCTTAACTCTGTTTTTTTCATGTCTAGAATTTATTCCTAAGCTCTCTCAGTTTTTATGTGAATGTAGTTGCCCCATGCTGGTGTGCTATTTGTAGGCCGAGGCTGCTCATTCATTTCCTGGTTGCCCATACCTGAATAATAACACAGAAACTATATTAATTACAATACTGTTTGGCCAATAGCTCAGGCATATTTCCGGTTAACTCTTGCATCTTAAATTAACCCATTTCTATTAATCTGAGTAGTGCCACAAGGGTGTGGCCTACCGGTAGGGTTCTGACCGGTGGCTGGTGTCTTTCTCTTTTGGCAGTTCCATGGCATCTCCTCAACTCTGCCAACTTTCTCTCTATTATCTCTGTTCAGATTTCCTACTAAGCCATTGACTGAAACAGCTTCTTTAATAACCAATGGTAATAAAACATATTCAAAGAATACAGAGGGAATCCCACATCACAAATCCATTCTCTGCAAGCAGATCCAGCCTATACTAACTGGCCTGTATCTGGTGTCTATCAAAATAGGGGCTAAGAAGGGGCTTTGTCTACAGAAGTTTAGGATAGCTAGTATCTTTGAGAAAATCACATGTGTAGTTGAATTTCCTTAGTTACAGCAGCCGTGTATACAAAGGTTAAAAGAGCATTCTTCCAACACCAAGAGTACTGGTGCACAGCAGAAGAAGTAGTTCTGTGACAACTTATGAGGAGGAAAAGGCTGGAGTTGTTGCAGAGAAAGAACTTGAGGCCTTTGGATAACTTTTGTTTACCCACATTAATGTGTGGCTGTTTAACTCAGGGTTTCTATTGGTGTCATAGAACACTTTGACAAAGCACAACTCGGGGAGGAAAGGGCTTATTTCATTTATACCTCCAGATAACTGTCCATCACTAAGGAAAGTCAGGGCAGGAACTAATGCCAAGGTCATGGAGGAGTGCTGCTTATGGCTTGTTCCTTGTGGTTTGCTCAGCCTGCTTTGATAGGACAGCCAGCCTAGGAGTGACACCACCCATAAGAAATTAGCCCCTCCCACATCAATTATTAATCAAGAAAATATCCCACAGACTATTCCATGGGCCAATCTAGTGGGGGAATTTTTCTCAGTTGAGGTTCTCTCTTTCAAAATAACTACTTTGTGACATATTGACATAAAATTAGCATGCCAAATACAACAGCTAAAGGCATCAATTCACCTTTCTTCACTCACACTAATGCATGGGTCTTGCATTAAACAAAAAACCAGTGAAACCAAAGCAAAATGTGCAAAGGAAGGCAAACAAATCTCTATGACAGTTTTACAAAGAAGGTTTCTATATAAGCCACGAAGGGTGTTCCATCACTGTGTTTAGAGAAAAATAAGTTGAAAACACAGTAAGAGTCAACTGAATACCAATAAACTGGCCAGAATAAAAGAAGACAATACCAAGTACTGGTGAAGGTACAGAGGAATCAAAGTTTTAGCCCACTATTGGTGAGAAGGTAAAATGGAGAACCAATGTGGAGAACAGTTGGGTAGTTGCCTAAAAACGGCAAATATACATACCACATAATCAGTACTTCTGTGAAGATGTGCACACAAATGTTATGGACACACTTTAATGTAGGTTTAGTCTTTCACCTATACCTCCGGTCAGCTATGTTCCACCAGTAGCTCCCCAAATAACCACACAGAGATTTAATATTAATTATAAATGCTTGACCTTTAGCTTAGGCTTGTTTTTAACTAGCTCTTATAACTTGCCCATTTCTATTAATCTATGTGCTGCCCTGAGACTCGAGTACTTTATGTACGTACTTTCCAGCCTGCTCGCTCTGTTACATCTCATGGGGTCTCCTCTGACTTTGCCCTTCTTCCCAGTATTCTCCCTGCCCCAAAAATTCTTTCTAGTCATTGGCTAATTAGCTTTTATTAACAATGGGAGTAACACATCTTCATAGTGTACAGAAGGATTATTCCACAACACTTCATGGAAGAACAAAACCCCAGAAATGACCCAGAGAAGTGCATAAATGAAAAGTTGTCTAAATAATGGATTACTCAGGAGTATGAGGGGATGTATACTTTGCTGACTCTCATACATGCACACAAATTAATCAAAAAGATGTGTTGTATAAGCCAAATAAAAAATAAAAATAATAATAATAATAATAATAATAATAAAAAGCTGGGCAGTGGTGGCACATGCCTTTAATCCCTTTAATCCCAGCACTTGGGAGACAGAGACAGCAGGTGAATCTCTGTGAGTGTGAGGCTACCCTGGTTTGCAAAGTGAGTTCTCTGTAGCTTCAAAGCTACAGAGGAACTATGTCTCACAATACCAAAATAAATAAATAAAAAAATAAAAGACCTGTTGTAACTGAATCCTGGTGCTCCAGGTGCCTCTTCATTCTCTTTGGCTACCTTCAAAGGTCTCCATCCTTCTGTATCCAGGTCCTTCACAACCTCCCTACTTGTCAAATCAGTTAGCCCCTCTAAACCTCAGATACCTAAATATCTGCCCGATTTTCACTGAGATCTTTTAGATGAACTCATTTTTTTAATTTTTCTTTTTAAAATGATACTATTTCATTTTTCTGCAATATTTCCATGATAAGTATAATCTGAGAATCAACTGGCAAAGACTCACTTCCAGCATAACTTTGTTCGTTTGTTTGTTTCTATGTTGACCAGCCTGTTTTGGAACTCGCAGAGATCCAGCTGCCTTGGTTTCTCACCATATCTGGCAAATTCAAGTCACTTACTTCTTCACATCTGTTCCTCCCTTCCTCATGTCAGATCCAGCTTCCTGCCTTTTCTTTTCTTTGCTCTACCCAGAGAATGTCTTCCTTTGTTACCACAGTACTATTTTTTGTTTAGTTTCTCACCACAGCTCAACAAATCTTTTGACCCCATCATGCAGACTCAGGGGTGACTCCTTTTATCCCTCTCATCTTAAAAATAGCTTTTGAGCATTTTATACACTTATTTTGATCATTACCTCCCCCAAACTGTTATTTTTATTAAGATTGGTTAATATTTTTTCTGGAGGTGAGCAACAAAATTAACTCTGGTTCACTGAAGGTTAAAAAAACAACAAAAACAGAACAAAACAAAAGGAAGTTGAGGGTCTGGAGAGATGACCTAGTGGTTAAGAGCACTGGCTGTCTTCTAGAGAACCAGAGTTCAGTTCTCAGTACCTATCTCAGGCAGCTCACAACCACCTGTAACTCCAGTCCCAGGGGATCTGATGCCTTCCTCTGGCCTCTTCTGGCATTTATATGGTCTACAGACACATGTAGGTGAAACATCCAGACACATAAAATAAAAAATAAACAACAAAAAGATGCTGAGGTAGAGTCTAAGGAGGGCTTAACAAGTTCCAGAGGATCAAGTTCTCATATGACTCCGAGGTCGCAATAATATACATAATCCAGACTCTTTGTGTATTTTCCATCTTTTTGTGGCTTATTTTTCTTTGCTCCTTTAATCTATGACTGTCTGTATTCTTTTATTTTGCTTTTATTGTCTCTTTAAAGACTTTGTTTATTTTTAAAGCTATTTCTTTTTATAACTATCTATACTCTTTTTCTTCCCAAGCCTATGTACATTTATCCAACAGTGTGATCCATTCAGAGGTCTTTTTCATCTGAATCTTTTTTTATTGCACATCTGTAATCGTTTTCTGACCAAGCTAAGCGGGCATGGCTAGGACCACCTCCGCAGCCCTGCCTGATTGTTCCGCCCCATCCAACATGGTGGAAGTACATTTACCCCCAGCTCTGGGACTGCTGGGTTGGAACCACGCTTGCCCCCTCAACTTTGGAAAGCACCATGCAGCACATAACCTTTTCAGTCTGAATAAAAACTAAATCTGCCATGCAACATGCTTCACAGCCTGGAAATGTCTCTATGTATTGTGGTGGGAACCCACTTTGCGTTCCTGCCTGTGCACGCCTAGCAGACCCAATCCAGCTCCTTTCCCAGGCAGGGGTGCTGAGCAGCAGACATGGTCTCAGTTACCTTCCTCCTAACCCGAGCAAGCATACAATCACCCAGACTTGAAATGGGTGACTGGCCTTGTGGTTTAGCCCCACATTGGACTGTATTCTGTAGAAAGAGACTGCTTGTTTGTTGGAGGAGGTCGCTTGTTTGTTTTGGCTGCTTGGCAGCTCAGACCCAAAATAACTACACACAGAAACTGTATTAATTAAATCACTGCTTGGCCTGTTAGCTCTAGGCTGCCAGATGGTAGGGCAGCCTCCTCACAACGCTTGTTCGTTTCCCGATTGTTCAGATTATTCGTTTCCTGAATAATCACCCAGAAGCTATATTAATTACAACACTGTTTGGCCAATGACTCAGGCATATTTCTAGCTAGCTCTTACATCTGGAATTAAGCCACTTCTATTAATCTGTATATCACCCAAGGTTGTGGCTTACTGGGCAAGGTTCTGGCATCTGTCTCCTTTGGCAGCTACATGGCATCTCTTTGCCTTTGCCTACTCTCTCTCTCTATCTCTTTAGGCCAAAGCAGCTTTGTTCATTAACCAATAAAAGCAACACATGTGCAGAAAGACATCCCACATAAAATGTGTAAGTTGATGACTTTCCAGAAAAAAATGTTCAAGAGGTCCCAGTTCCAGGTTCCTGAGGGAATCTAATTGACCTTGAAGTTTGTCCCGAATAATTGAACTGCCACCTGTGAGACAAAATGACACAACAGAAATGTGGCTCTGAAATGCTCGTTCCCATGGCCAGGGCAGTTCCTATGAAATGGTGGACAATCTAGTGAGGTTTCTCCACATTCACAGTCAGGTTACGCCCACAGTAGTCCCTTGGGCGAGCTTCCTAGAGCCACTCTAGATCCTCTGTAGCTAAGGGAACAAAGTATGGCGAAACTGAATACCAGACCAGGGTCCTCTGGGTGCCTGATGGCAGAGCTGGGGGCCCTCTGACCCCACTGCTCCTCTTGTTCTGTAAGGTCTGAGAAAGACAAGGAAGAGGGCAGAAGCTAAATGTCAGCCTGCTTTCTGTTTCCAGGCTGGGGTGGTAATAGGGTAGAAAGGCAGTGGGGAAAGGTATTGAGAAGCTTCCTGTTGCAGGTACACAGTTGATGCTGGGGTAACCAATGAGTACTTGGTAAAGAAATATTAGGTCAAGGATAGATAAACATGTTTCCTGGAGGCCATAAATGGGGGTTCACAGGACTGGAAAGACAAGAATCTGGAGACACCAGTTGCTGTAGATATGGGAATTGTCACAGATGAACAGAATAGAAGGACTTTGTCAGCAAGCATGGTCCTGGCGGAGTCCCCGCCCTTGCCCTGCAGGGCTCCTGGCACAGCTCTCCTGTCGATTTGTAAACTGGAAAGTTGTTTCTTCTTTAGGATAAACCGTCAGGGCATTAGCTCTCTTTCTAGTTTCCTTTTTGTGACTGTGATAAAGAACTTCATCTCAAGCAACCTGGAGAGGAAGGGCTCCTAGGTTACAGTCATCATGGAGGGAAGTGAGGGCAGGAACTCAAGCCGTCAGTCATATCACATCCTCAGTCAAGAAAAGAGAGTCAACTGGGTGGTGGTGATGCACATTTTAATCCCAGCAGAGGCAGAAGCAGGCGAATCTCTGTAGGTTAGAGGCCAGCCTAGAGCAAGCTCCAGGACAGCCAGGGCTACACAGAGATACCCTGTCTTGAAAAACCAAAAAACAGAAAAAGGAAAGAAGGAAGGAAGGAAGGAAGGAAGGAAGGAAGGAAGGAAGGAAGGAA